TGTTTTGAGATACAACCGATTTAAGTTGACGATGTTTGAAACGGTGATCAAAATATCGTTTCAGCCTCAATATCCATTTATTGTTGCATTGTCTGAAAGCCGGGATCTTGAATGACACGTTAATGTATGATTTTCACGAAGTGACCGTAACCATGTGTATTAGCTAATGGGTTAGCGCTACTTCGTGATAACGCCAGAAGTGAGTCGCGCGTATCACGTGACATTTGTGTTACTTCGTGAAAACGCAAAACCCGTTTTTGACGCGTAGTGTGCAGACACTTTACACGCAAAAAGAATGGTAAAGTACACTTCGTGAAAACGCGTTTTTCGGTTTTGACCCATTAAGTTTCAAAGTTTACTCAATGTTAATTAATATTTTGGCAAAACTAATTAACTCTGTGTATAGTAACTTCTTCAGGTAATAGATTATGTGTAATTAATTACAGTTAAGGAAAAAAAATCGAAATCGCAAAATATCGATTTTTAGATGTTAGTGCCACTTCGTGGTGACGGTGACGATGTTATGGCTATATTAGACAATAACTACCGCTATTCGCTCTCCAACGGACGTTACAATAAAAAGCCACTCACGAAAAACCAGAGTTTTTGTGAAACATACGCACAAAATCGCGGGGGAAAAAAGACACTTTAGGTTCTTCCAGCTAATCATGGTATTACTCATATGGCTGTTCTTTTTCCCGATGCCAATTTTTCAGTGTGGGGGGGGGGGGCAGCGACGTGGCGCGAACTTTTTATTAGTGGAAATTGAAATCCGCCCCGATTTCAGAAAACTTTCCTTTTATAATTATGCATAAAATCATTACATAGAAGGCTGCAGAATATTCCTTATGAATAATATAATATTAACCTTACTTTTTTTTTGATTGGTATATTTTATAGGTCCGTCCATTCGGGTGCAGTTTGCATGCAGATTTTTCCATGTTAAAATTAAAAGAAAGAAAACTTACCCCCGAGTCCAAAGACAAGAAATGACCACAGAATCATCGGAGCCATCTTCTCACGGAATGCCGTGGGCTTGACGAAACACAACCGTCAGTGGGTCTCCTGCAGATTGTCAACTATTGCGTGGTGTGAAGTACCTGATAGGAATCGAACAGCGTAGGTGATATTGGAACTATGGACGTCGAAAACGCTTCCAGCAGCAAATTAATCAAGCCGGGCAAGCATTAAAACCAAGGCCAGGCCATTCAGATCAGCACAAAAGCGTGTCCATGTACACGCCCCTCCGCTCAACAAGCATTTATTGCATCTTTCATTTGCGCGCGCTCACGAATGTTTTCGATCGATATGCTGAAACGTAATAATACCGTTTTTGTTTTTCATTTTTCTTCTATCGCATCTTTCAGTAAACCCTTTTTCTTACACCTTTATTATATTTGTAGAATATCTGTTTGGAGTGGAACAGTTGGCTACATTATTTGATACTGTCACTATGGGCCTAAATGCATTTATTAAGCGCGCATGCGCGGAAGCAATAGTGAGGCAGGAAGCACATGTGTATTGGGGTTCGAACGTTTAATTCGAATTTCAAAAATTTTGTCGATATTTTCCCCTTGTGAAATTTGAAAAGCTCCGAAACATCGTTAGTAAACTTACACATAAAACACAGGTGCCATTGCTTTTTCAAAAAAGCTGTAACGGAATCTAGAGGGGCCACAACACAAGCCCCTCCCCCCCAAAAAAAAATAATGAATTATTTGCATCCTTTAAATTACCTTGTATCATAAGTTTCAAACATTTTCAGTGAAGTGACCTACTGACAATTTCGCTTCTAATACATTTTACGGAGACTTAACAAGGATGTTTAGTCGAACAATCACAAGTCCATCACAATTTAATCACAAGTCCAGTCACAAGTTTGTAACAATGGAAGAAAAATAATAAAGAGATGCAGTTGTCAAAGCTCATTTGAATAGCTTGCGAGTTGAATTGGGACTGGAGGAAAAGCCTTTGTTGTCAGTAAGACTGAAATCGGACGGACTTTTTGACACAAATGCATAAAAACCGCACCATATCAAGCGTGTCAATTATCGACTGATTGACGGCTGCGGTTGCCAGGTAATGCTACAAAACATTCGGAAAGCGAAGCCCTGGCGGAATTCGTCTGCCTTGAATTACGTTAATTGAACTATATCTGCAACGTGAATATGATCCTTCTAAATACTTTGGTTCCCTCCCTCTTAGACAATATGACTATAATTATGCTTTTATCATAAACTGGGGCTGTAAAGCTCTCCATTGATAGTGGATGCATTCCTCTGGTCATGCATCACTGAGTTCCATTGTCTTGAAAATGGTATGTGAAAACCGACTTGGTACAGTTTGGGGTAAAACATTGCAAACCCAGCCAGTAGTAAGACAGGAGATTCAAGGGATACAACAACATGAACAAAACATATTGAACCGTTTGTCTCATTCCGTCTTTTGGATAGCCCATAGAGGATGATATTTATTTTGTACAGCGCTCACCATGGATACCCACTTTTAGTTGCCCGATGATTACCCGAGGCGAAGCCGATGGTAACTATCAGCATTTCAGACTCCAACCAGTCTTCGAGTTTAATACCGACCAAGCACATATTAATTCCCATTCCTTAATACCTTTTCGGTAAAAAAAGACTCAAGACTTTACGGTCCAAAAGTGAAACCAGTCAACAAATAAAAAATTTCCAACGATTTTGTTCAACAATTGTACTTTTTTCGAAACACCCCTTTAGTTATAGGGTGAGAAAAAAAGCGGAACCCCCCCCCCCCTAAATATATTTCTTATTTCAAAAACATGTAGCACCAAAAATAATAATGACTGGAAAGCCTATTTCAAAAGCTACTTTTAGATGAAAACATTAATGAAATTGCTCAATCTGTTCAAAGAATATCACCATTTAAACGCAATGACCCATTGAACCTGTCTTGTAAAAAAAAACACAATTTATTGTGTGTTTTAACTGTTTGGAACAACACAGAAAATGACACAGAATACTGGTCTCAACAACTATCACCAACTGTACATGTAGTACCCAATATCTATATCAACAACCCTGTTTAGGGAAACAATTTGATTTTTAAATCTACTTTTTTTGAAATTATAACGATGTTATTATGGATGGTGGATGGCAGGATATCTCTTTTGAGAAGATGGGGTGGTCTTGAGAAAGACCGTTGGGTTTGGAGATCAATGAAGATGCTATATAAGATGGAATTTTTGCGTCGGGGTGATATAAATCAAATTAGGTTTTGCCCTTCACCGACGTTTAAACACTGTATACTCAGTGTGTTACCTCCCGAGTGAAAGATGCTGTAGCTACTCAAAAGAGATATCCTGCCATCCACCATCCATAATAACATCGTTATAATATCTGGAATATAACCCAATCTATACCTTATCCGTTATATTCAAACCAAAACTTCCACAGGAAATCATGGCAAGATGAAACATTCAACAAAGAAACTAAGAGATCACGAAACAACCAAAACCAAATCACTTTTCTGGTAAATGAAAATCTAAAACCAACCGAGGAAAATCCAATCATTTGCGCTCATGAGCAGAACATTATGAAGCCTTCATAACATACCTATCAAAAGCAAAACTATCGCAAACCGAAATAATTGCTTTTTGGACAAGGTCTCTATGTCATACATGTACCTGCTTATGCTAAACCAAGTCACAAATCACTCGTAAGCAACATCAATAATGTATCTTCAACCGAAGACTAATATGTACATCACTAATGCGTAACAAACGCTCTAAAAACCATTCTTTCAAACCAGCCACCAACTGGCATCCGAAATCAACCTCTAGTGAAATGCTAGAAAAATACCCAGAAACCACTAAATTTAAACTTGCACACAAGTTTAACACATTGAATTCTAGGATGAAGAAAAATCAAAACAAACTCCACCTGTCTTCACCACAACATACAACCCAGCCATAACACACCGTGACCTGCACTGGAACATAATCCAAGGCAATAAACTACTCTACGGAAACATTTCCGAAATCCCAATTCATTGCCTTCAGAAAAGCCGCCAGCCAACCGAGTCAGCTTCGATTCTTTTTTAAATCACCAATCTATAAGGCCAAAAAAAAAAAGTCTCCGGTTTCTGGTATGGAGCTTGCCCAAAAAGTGGTGCGGCGACGCGGCTTTTTTTTTTTTTTTTACCTGATTTTTTTTGCTTCAAATGTTGGCTGATGACTGCAAATGTTGCCCGACTAAACTTAGTGCAAATATATGGGAGTCAAGATAGGCCACATAAACCTTATTCTCGACCATAACCCAATCTAACAACACGTTAAAATTGTGCAGCAGCAGGATTCCAGTCAAACCAGTGAGTTTGGCGGTTTTGAGACATCATCTTTCATTGAAAAAAAAAAAGTTTTCATTGCCGACGCGCATGGCTACGGCGACGCTCGCGCATACGAGAAACCGGAGACTTTTTTTTTTGGCCTAACTGAAGAGTGTCCATACAGCAAGGCACGAAAGCATGCTATTGCTGACAAGAGGATTTGCGAACATAATCCTCTGCTCGCACCTTTAATCACATTTGATTACCCAACCTATCATAGTCACTTAATCTCTTATGTCCGCCCACTCTACATTTCAATCGGACATAACCGGCAAAGACTAAGTCATGCTTAAAATCATACTAAGCCATACTAATTCTAATAATTAATTATTAATAACAATTACCATAAAATTCCATCTTATAATAGTTTATGTGGTACCCGCTGCTATGTACATTAGATTCGAACCGACTGCTATGTACATTAGATTCGAACCGACCAACCGATCCCGTTAGCTCGGTGGTCGAGTGGTACGACATCTGCACTAGAAAGCAGGAGGTCGTGGGTTCGAGTCCCACCCGAGTGATTTTTTTCCAACTTTCACTCGGGAGGTAACACACTGAGTATACAGTGTTTAAAAAACGTCGGTGAAGGGCAAAAACCTAATTTGATTTGAAAATAAATATTTGAAGTTCACCTTGAAAACATGATGCAAGCCACTCTATTCATTTGTTTCCCATATTTATGGTCTCTGAAAAGAGGCAAAATTGTCTGAAAACCTTGTTATCTATAATCACTTCATTATTAATGTTTGATATCTTCATTATTTAAGTGTGCTATTCAGAGTGTTTAAAAATGTATCACTTTCTTATCCTTTAGTTTTCACGAAAACAAGCTTAATTTTAAAGTTCTTGATTCTACTAGCACGGAAAAGATACATCGCAGCTGTACCTTCTTGTTCAAACTTTCTTTTCATATGTTTTTATTGCACAAAATAAGAAGCAGTGACATAATGCAGTTTACTTACATCACAATTTTCCAAAAATCTTAAGGCCTATGGGAAATTAAGAAATTGTGTAAATATGGCTGCCTATTATAGGTTTTCACGGCTATTTCAAAACGTTTATCATTCTAATTCACTGTTTTTAACGTTCAATATCCGTCCATCAACATCGACTGATTGCATTTCAAATGCTCAATTTGTCTTTTGTCAGAAAACTTCAAATTCAGTTCAAGAAAATTCAAACAATGAGCACACGGTTTTGTACCGGCGTATTCGACTTCACCTCGTCTGCGCCAAGCCTTGTTATTCAGAAATTAAAGTCTAAGACGAATTCGATATCGGAATGCTGCCATTCGGCAACAGCTTGGACGAATTTGATCTGTAATGACGAATATTATCGACCCGCTGACTAAAGAGGGTAGCAGAACTTTGAAATTTTTCGGTTATTGACTCGATTGATTCTCTTAAAAGCGGGTGAATTTGAACGAAAACTCCTTTAAAAAAGCCGGAAAAACCTATAGTCAATAAATCATCATATTCCCGAGAAAAGGTATGGAACCCTACATTTTGAGATAATAGGTTTAGTTACTCACTTCTCTGAATGCTAAGAAATTAATTATCATTTTATTATAACATTAATAATTGTATCTTAAGCTCATCTCGTTAACAGATAAAAACCTCATACTAAACACCTGTTCATAATGTTGAACAGATTACCACTCTATTCTATGTTTATTATTCTAATATTGATACCAAAAGCCTAAACGACCCCTTATTTTGGAACAGTTTGATGGGCTTGAAAAAAACCCTGTTCTAGCGTCCTCGAAACTGCGAAATCAAATCAGTTTCCATTTAACCGTTTAACAAGACCCTCCGAAGATATTTCCAAATAAATGACAAACATTTCAGGAAGGAATCGTGTAATTTGCAGCAAGGGAAATAACATTAATTCATACTCCCGCGACGAATCATGAGGGAGGAACTCGACATTTGGCCATCCAATGCACCAGCCCACCTCATACCGCGGTAATCTTGCCCCGTGTAGTTGACGGGATAGGAATACTCCCCATTCAGGTTAGTCGGCACGAGATCCACATTCCCGACTCCTCCAGTACAAGTCTTGAACCACCAGCCTCCCTTCAGCTGAGCGGCACAATTGGCGTTGCCATCGGCGTCATTGTCGCGGTCGTAGGTTGAGAACGGCTGGCCTGAGTGAACGTCAGTCATTGACTTGCCTATATAGGAAACAGAAGGAAAAAAGTATATGTATTCCCGGCTAATTGAAAACGTTTGTCATTAGAATGCACCGTTTCTAATTTTCAAATTATTCCATCAACACCAATTAAGTGCACTTCCAATGTTTAATCTTGTCTTTTGTCAGACAATTTCAAATTCAATTCAAGACAATTCAAACAATGAGCACACGTTTTCGTCTTGGAGAACTCGATTTTGTCTCGTTACGCCAACCTTGTTATTCAGAAATCAGATTCCTATAATTGATTTATATAAGACGAATTCGATATCTGAAAGCTGCCATTTGGCAACAGCTTAGACGAATTTGATATGTACTGACAAATATTCTCCACCCGGTACTATAAAGAGGGTGACCGAACTTTGAAATTGAATGGTAAATGACTGAATTGGTTTTGTAAAAAGCGTGTGACACTTTTCTCGGACGGTGTTGAATGTTAGAGTTGGTGAATTTCAATGAAAACTCTTTTACAATAGCCGGGAAAACCTGTATTTCCACTAAAAGTGTATATAGTTCAAACAGTGACGTACAGTGACGCATTCGAATGCACAATAATTAAATTAATGTCCAGAAACCTTAATTATATTCAGTGTATTTCCAGTATTAAATTTCGTCTTTCGTCAGACAATTTCAAATATAGCTCAAGCAAATTCAAACAATGAACACACGTTTTCGTCCAAGACTATGCGATTTCGAATGTCTACGCCACACCATGTTATTCAGAAAGTTCGTTCAATTGCGTCATACTACATTTGTGGCGAAAGCCATGGTCTATAACATTTGAGCATACTCTCTGATTCTTTATGCAAGACAATCGCATCTTGACCTCCAGATTCGACCAGTCAGCGGGCACTTTCTATATCGGGTTCTTCGGTCATTCAGCGTTGTCGCGTCATAGATCAGACATGCATACAAAATACCCAAGACACAGCAACAAAGTCTGTGGTCACGCGCTCTGTATTATGTTACGCGATACACGCCCGGCTGTTGTATTACAAAACACTGCATTCAAATTGCCCAATCATAGTCTAGTTCTGACTTTGGAATGAAATGACGTCATGATTTTGTAAAGTCGAATCCGATTGGCTGAGGCGCGAGATCACATAAATCTGTATGCTTTGACATATCAGACGTAATACAGGAGACTGTGCTCCGTGGATAACGGGTGAAATACTTAGACTAGGTGGTGTCTATCACAAAGCATCACTAGAAGTAATATGAGACATACACGTTTTAAATAATGAAGTAAACTCTTAACCGAAAATCGTGAGTCTTTCCAAGGGGCCGAATCACAAGTCCAACGCCTCATAGGTCCTACGCCTCATAAGTCCGACGCCTCATAAGTCCGACAATGGACAAACACTGTTTCGGACTTATGAAGCGCCGGAGCTATGAGGCGGAGTAAATAAATGTTATGCCTCATAAGTCCGACGCCTCAAAAGTCTGACGCCTCATAAGTCCGAAATGTCGGACTTATGAAGCGTCGGACCTATGAGGCGTCGGACTTATGAGCGGACCCCTTTCAATACAACCTGCAAGGAAATTTTTAATAGTCACTCATTTTACATTTTATTTATTTTTTTTCTGGTAAGACAAGGAAACCAAGGATTCTTTTAAAGTGTCCTAGGCACTGTAGCTCGAAACCGCTAGAAGTAGCCAATGAGAAGAAGTTACAGTTTTACACGTGGGAGATAAAACTCACAAAATCAGGTCGGGACTGAAAACCCAATACAAATGTGGACCGGGCAGGAAAGTATGCATTGTCAATAAAGGACATGTTTTTTTTTTACCACCTGGAACTGGAATAACTTGCACTTTCCACAAGAACACTCATTGGGGTTTATCTGTCTTATATGCCGTCCGGACGGTCCGGTTCACGGCATATATGACTTTGGATATTACACTACAAAAGTACCTGTTGGCCATTGAGGCGATGGATCCGCATATAGTATGTAGTTGTCACCTGCGATCTGGAATTGCTCAAGAAGTATTCTACTGCCGTGGTCTCCACCACCTACAAGTATCTGCAGTTCCCAAGTGCCTTCCGAGGTCAGCTGGCGGACTATCTCGTTGCCCAGCCAGAACTCCCCCGTCAGATCACCGAAGCCGTCTCGGTACTCGGCCCAGCTACGGGTAAAATTCACCGACCCGTCCATACGTTTCTGAATCACCTTGAACGAGAAAACAGCAAAGGAACGAATTGATCACTTTTTGTTATTATAAAAACGGACAGTAAAATCGAAGACGGCGACATCGGAATGACACTACCAGACATGCCGTGATAAATCATCATAACACCACATTAATATCGGACGATTGGTTAAAATGATACCACCAATTAAGTAAATATTTCATATTGCGGGTATTTTGCTTGTTGCGCAAACTCGTACGTTGGTGGTGTTCAGATAGGGAGTGATATTGAAAAACAATCTCCGCTCTTGTTTGTTCCTACAGAGTCAAACAAGGGACCCTATTTATACCTTACACTGAAATAATAGTCAAAAAATTAGTGGAAACTTGATCTATTAATTTGAATAATTTTCATTCTAAATCATCTTTCCCTCTTTCAGTGGTATACATTGAATTGCAGTCGAATTTCAAGAGTGAATTCTTTACTCTTTGGAAATGAGAGAGCCGCGCGGTCACCAAAGAGCTCCGCGTGATCCCCGGCTTTGTTCATTGTTTCTATGCCCTTTCTGCGCACACACATAAAAATCGTTCAGTAGGATAAGCATACCACTTCGCATAAGCACAATATTTGCGTACGTTAAGGTTGACATAAAAAGTTCGACTTTGGGGAGTTGACGAACCACCGACTCTCATGTCAAGGAATGGGCCTGACAGCCCTGACTGATGATTTCATGTCCAATGAACTGCGTCTTCGAGTGACATAAACGGAAGGAACTTACCACCCAATCTAAATGGCAATAAACGGCCAAGCCGTTTGGATATTGCGGTGGGTAGATAGTGACGGCATCATACTGTACCCCGGCATCATGACTCTCTCTGCAGTCAGCATATCGGGGAGCTGAGGCCGTTGTCGCAATCTCGACTTCAATTTTGACATTGGCCTGGCTGACTGCTTAATAATTTAGAGAAAAAAAATCAAACCAAAATACTTTATTTAAAAATGTTGTCTAATTTTCAAAAGGCTTTGATGTTCTTTGATGAAGAACACAGTTGCGTATATTTCAGCCTATTCGTCAAGGTCAGGGCCAATTTGTTTTTGAAATACCAACTTTGGAAAATTGCGCACAAGCATTATTCCTTTGTCCCTTTTATATTCCGGGAAGTGGCAGGTGCGGTTCTACGGAGGGGAAGAGCGGGTGTGGGGGAAGGGGGGGGGGGTAGGGGGCCGTAGCCGTGTGTAGTACCCCCACCCCCAAAAATAAATAAAATAAAATAAAAATAAAAATAAAATTCCATGAAAACAATGGCAGTGGCCAATTTTAGAAGTTGACGTGCAAATTATCTCACTCCCCCAAAAAGTGGTGAGAAGAGGGCATTTGTAGGGTATTATAGTGTGCATGATTGTACTCACACAGAACGAATAGTAAAAATATAATAGGTAAAAAAAGTTGTGTAAGCAAAAAACACAGTTTCAGTAAACATTGACGAAAAGAATTTACAGAATTATAATGTAGATTGAAAAAAAAACATTTTAAAATGTAAATATGTACATTTTCACGAGTTGCGTAAACACGTCCGATATTTTACTTTTCCAATGGTACCTTACAAAGTTGCAATGAAAGTTGTCATCCATTATGTATGGATAACCGATTCGAAGGTAAGGCAAAAAAAATAAAAATTTCGGTCTCTGGTCAGACCAAAGTTCCGGAATTGACGCGGCCACGCGGCTTTTTTTTTTTTTTTTGGCTTTTTTTTTTTTCTTCAAGCTTGGATTGTACAGACAAGGTGGGTACTATTATTTTTTTTTTGGTGTCCTCCTAATAATTTGCCTTGGTGCTTTCGATCATTTGCCTTGGTGCAATTTCACATTCCTTGGTGCTCTTTGGTAAAACAAATTGAGGAGGTGCGGAAATAGAGGGCGCTGTTGGAGCTACCGCGGAACATTTTGGAAAAAAAAAAGATCGACGCGCATGATTATAATCGACGCGCGCGCTGACCAGAGACCGACTTGGTTTTTTTTTGGTCTAAAGCCCGCCATGTGGTTGCCATGTGTTTGCAGTGTGCTATTCGCAAAGCACAAACGCGTGAAGCTTCTTCGTACTTTTCGAACAATAAAATCCACCAAGTTTGTACGTCGTCGGCCTGGGAATCGAGTCGTTTAAAGAAATTACCCGAAGCCTATAATTTACTAACCACTTTGTTTGGGATTTTATCAGCGCTCCCCATTGAAAATGTGGTTCAACCCCCCCCCCCCCCCCTATAGATTTTTGAATGCCTAATTGTCCGGAGAAAAAAGGTCAACATTTCAGCACGCCTCCCTGCACTAATTTCTGGATCTACCCCCGCCACCCCCACCCTTCCAAAAACAAATAGGCTCTAGAACCGTGCCTGGGAAGTGGGTAGCTCAAACTTGCAATTTTTGAAAGGAGAGAGTTAAATATATATTATAACTATTCATGGGGAGGACATACAGTTTTCTTTAAAACAAATAAATATAAAAAAATGGGAAATCCTTAGTTTTGTTCTGACGTTAAACAACTTCTTGGTTTCAAGGCAGCTCACAATGAGGTAAAGGAAGGAAGTACCATAACGTGCGTTCATTTCACAATATCAAAAAGATGTTCTTGTAATTGTCTTTGCTTATCCTATACCTCCATCAAGTAGGTTACTGAAATTTAAATCGCTTTAACGGTGTTTTTACGAAGTAACTTTTAAAAAATGTTTTCAAAGCTTTGTTTACTAAGTTCTCCTTACCAGTCGAGTTTCGTGTCCCTGGGCATCGTTTGCGTATTTCTCGAGCGGCTGCTTGCATCCAATGTTCACCAGGAAGCGGCTCCGATGGTGGACCGAAGTAACAAGTCTTCATCTGGCTCTCAACCACATCTGTAAGTACTGAAAAATTGATAGTGAACACATGACAGTCATTTTTTGAATGACTAAGTGATTTAAAAGCAAAATTTCTTCTTATTGAAACTAATTTAACCGATCAAAATGGGGTAAACATTTCCAGGTGTCAGGAATAGACGACTTCCCTTTCACATGTACCGATGATCGCACGCCGCGATATGGGAATGTAGGCCTGCGCACCTACTTGTGCCTTGTACATATGTTAAGGCCACTAAATCTGATATTGATACCAGTATACAAATAACATGCAGCTATGCCATTTAACAATTCTACATGTAACGAATATCCTTGTATGTTCATTCTTATTTTTTTCCGTAGCGATCTGATCTTGATTATCATTCATGTAATTCTAGTTAAGACCCCCGAAAAAAATACTCGGTCTCTGGTCATCGCGCGCATCGATTTTAATCATGTGCGTCAACCTTTTTTTTCCCTTCAAATTAACACGGAAGCTACAACAGCGCCCTCTATTGCCGCGCCTCCTCAAATTTTTGTACCAAGGAGCACCAAGGAATGGGGAAATTGCACCAAGGCAAATGATAAAGGGCACCAAGGCAAATTATGGAGGACACCAATGTATTATGAGGACGCAAAAAAGCAAAATAGTACCCACCTTGTCTGTACAATACAAGCTTGAAAAAAAAAAGCCACCAAAAAAAAAAAAAAAAAAACCGCGTCGCCGCATCAATTCCGGAACTTTGGTCTGACCAGAGACGGACTTTTTTTTTTTTTGGCCTAATCGCTCATCTAAACAATTAACGGACCTCTCTCAAATGTTGGCACTGAACACACCACCTGCAGACTCGGGTCGAAAGTATGTTTTTCTCCTAAAGCCCACCGTACACTACAGCTACGGAGCTGAGCAAAAAAAGTAATTGGAGGCCGTTTGCTAAGCACGTGGCTAAAAAAAAATCAAATTTGTGCTCTGAATTTGTGCTGAGTTTTATGCCTCTCGAGGCTATTTGAAAGACTTTGCCTCTTTTCTCAATGGCTAAACATCTTATGTCAATCTTAAGCTACGAACATCAATGGTTTTTATGGCAAAAAAAGCTGTAAGTTAACGTTAAATCGTTTTTGAGTCCTAAATTTGATTAAAATTGTATTTAAGGCAAAAGAACGTGTCATGAAATTTATCTTAAGATACACTGTTTTGCCATCAAAATGATGCATTATTGTATATACATGTATGTGACTATAATGCGGCAAAGGAAACTAAATTCTGAAATGTATTATAATTTCGAAACTAGCCAGAAATGTACTGTCAAATTTGACAGGAAAGTAAAAGAAAATATGTCCCATGATCACACAATTTGACAGCCAAAAAAAACCACTTATTCACACACACAAAAATAGTAGGTTAAAGTTTAAACTCCATTTTCTCAAAACACCGTTTTTTCGAGTTAGGCTGCTTTGCCATGAATGAGCCGCGGGCTGGTGTGAGTTTGTAATAAACCTCTATTTCATTGCTTTCATTTCTACTCGCAAGTTAAAAAAAAGAAGAGTTTATGAAAATGAAGAGTTTACCTCGCTTTCAATTTAATAAGGCCGACTCGTGAATAAAGGCTACAATTGTCGTGCCGCAAGTAGGTTAACAATTGTAAAATATTATTTCATATATAAACGCAGAACGAGTTTATAGTTCTAATGTATGTCACGGTTACGTGTAGGGTAATTGCTGCCTAACGTGGTAAGTCCGCTTAATGATTAATTAAGAATAGATCTCCTTGGCAATTAAAGGGGAAAAACAATCAGAAATGAGCACGAATTAAAGGCAATATTTCGTCGGGTGCCCGGCAGAAGGGCATATGAGCGTTTTGACGTAAAAATCATTTTCAAGAAAATTGCATTGAAAGATTCCATTGTTCCCCCGCGCGCATTTTGTATCCAATGTTCCCCACACGTAATATAAATCGTATGAGTTTTAAAATTGTCACACGTATGGATCATAAGTTTTGAAACAACTTGTATTAATTTCTAACGAAAATGTTTAATTCTCATTCATAAATACCTCAGACAGTTTAGCCATTCCTATTGGTCGAGAGCCCGTCACGTGGCCGGTATTAAACGGATGATAAAGACATGGCTAGCTGGTCTTAAACACTTTTCCAGTGTCACAATAAAATGTGGACTCCTAAAAATCCAGTGCCTCTTATCGTTTAATTGGTTGAACGTTCACAATCCTCACGTAGGCATGCGCAACACTACCAGGGAGTTAGAATTTTATAGTTCTAAATTCAAAACGCAACGCGCCAGGTGCGTTCTGCGCGACATCGCATAGAACATGATACGCGCGCGTCAATCTCCATAAAAGGGTTGTTTTCATCTTACTCGCCAGCTGAACACTCCATTATTTTGCAGGAGGGATGATTCAAAAAGCATAAAGTGAATTTGTTGAACAAAATCGGGATGTTTTGCACGAATTATATGATTTTTTTTTACCGAAAAGGTATTTATGAATGGGAATAAATATGTACTCCGTCGGTATTTATCACTCTGTTTAATACCACTTAGAGTCTGGGTGCTGATAATTACCCTCGCCTCCGGCTCGGGTAATTATCAGCACCCAGACTCTAAGTGGTATTAAACAGAGTGATGAAAACCTCCGGAGCACACATTTATTCCCTTATTCAAATGGAGGCAGTTTTCTGCATATGCCCTTTTGTTGGGAACATTTTGGTCATTGCGCGCTATTGCATAAGGGCATATGCACATATGCCCTTTTGCCGGGCACACGACGATTTACTGTCCAGATGTTTTCCAATGATTTAATCAATCTTAATCTTGTTTGAGTAAATTGAAGACTATTAGTGAGAGATATTAATACTATGATATCCAGCAATCAGTCAAGTAAAATATTCTAAGTTTGTGTGAAATATCTGTCACGTCAAATCAGTTAATGATGTTGACAAGTTGCTAAGACACGAAGGATATATCAAAAAGCCTATACCACAGCTTATGCCAAAGAATACCAGTCTGTGGTGGGCCACCAGCGACAAAATAAGAATGTTTGGCAATATGTGTAGTACGTCAAAGATATGCTCAGCTATCACAGTGTAAATGTTCGACGTGTAAGCACTGTATCACTACAAATATTCAACTAAATCTGCGATGTTGAACTATAATATATTTCACATCAGCTTACAAGAACATCGTCAAAATATTGAAATAGGTTATCTCAATGTCTTGCTTTGAACAAGTATCAACACGTCCAGCAATATATATAGCCCAGATGTATGTACCCAAAAAAACATGGTGTAATACAGTTTAGGATATGAGCTAATTATGAGTTAAATCTCAAATATGAGACTGAGTCATTCGTCACTCTGTTATTCTCATTCACAAATGCGGCGCCCTTTTTTGGTTAAAAAGCATAATAATTTAGGAAAATCTGTAAAACTTATCTGTTTTGTAAATTTTCAACTCCCGCCAGTGACGCTCAAAATGTGTCCACAGGGTCCGCAATGAAAAAGTAATCATATCCGGTATGGTGTGTATGCATTTCTATGGCAAACTTTTCGGATAGTATTTGCGGGCATGGGCTAACCGCGGTCTACAGCTGCAGCCAGATGCTTTATACAAAGGTCATGATAAATTACCCAGAATGTCATCCCCACTTCCTTCACAAGATTCTGTGAAGCCCATCTGCCCTTCCCAGCGCCCTGTTTGCAGGGCGGGGGGTACGAGCGAATGGGGAGCGCTGATAAAATCCCACAATCGGGCAAAAGTGTACAAATGCACCCTTCTCATTTAGGGGAAGACCGTTCCCATGTACGTCAAATTCTTACATTTTGCTAGTGCATTTTTTTTTTTAATGGAATTTTTGTGGGTTTTTTTTTTTTTGGGGGGGGGGCCTGACAAAATTTTAGAACCGCACCTGCACGCAATTTTACCGTAAAGCAAGACTTTGAAAACCACGGTTTCTAAACTTTCTATACTGGGGTGCGCCATTTACAGGACAATATTTTCCATTCATAAATAACTAATACAGTTTACCCATTCCGATAGGTCGAGAGCCCGTCACGTGGCCGGTCTTAAACGGATGATAAAGACATGGCTAGCTGGTCTTAAACACTTTTCCAGTGTCACATGAAATTCGGACTCCCGTGAAATCCGGTGCCTTTAAACGTCTCATTGGTTTAACGTTCACGTTCCTCACGTATACATGCGCGATACTACCAGTGAATCAGTATTTCATAGGATACAAATATTGACTGCTTCAAGTGGAGTAGTAAAACTAGCCTCCCGAGTTGATCCATGAGGCACTCCATTTTTCCCGAGGCGAAGCCGAGGGAAAATAGAATGCTCCATTGATCACTGAGATTATCCCACAGATTATGCTTGATTTTAGGCGATAACTGATCAATTTAATCTGAATATAATACAAATTTACTTCTATTTGAATACGAAATTAGTTGAAAATTAACTTGCACTTTTTCTAACTACCCCTTCAAGAAATGTTTGAACCATAAAGCTATACTAAATTTTAATAATGAAAGGTTTGCGGAAACACCATGTGCGAATAATTTCTCAACTAAGAGAATGGCTCTGAAAAGAACCAGAGGTATAAACTCGACGTTCCGGTCAGTATGCTCTGACCGTCTTCAGGAGAGTCAGAGCATACTGACCGGAACGTCGAGTTTATACCTCTGGTTCTATTCAGAGCCATTCTCTTAGTTGAGAAATTATTCGCACATGGTGTTTCCGCAAACCTTTCATTATTTAGTATCTCCACCATGCAAAGCCTCAAATCTTACTTATATTAAATTTAACATACCTGTATGGTTTGAACCCAGTTCTGTAGCACGCGCTTGGAAACAATACGCGAAACGCGCAACGGGCAACTCAAACATCCCTGCATTTTTGCACACAGTGCGTATAGTACTTTTGTTGCTACGGGTATAGTACTTTGGCTGCTATTGGTAATTTTGGCCGGCACTGAAAAATAGCATAAATAGAAAGTAACATGTGACTCGCTCTCAG